CAGCAATCCAGACTTCCAAGATAAGAAATACTCACGAGAGCTTCTCCAGCATTGGTATATTAGTTGAATCCTGCAAACAGCCTCCTCCCAAAGTCTCTCCTTATATACTCTCTTGGGAGTAGCCTAATTACAACCACCTGGGTCCAATTATCTTTCAGAGCTGACTCATAGGGCCCCTCGCTGTCGGAGTCTGTTTGCAGCTCCAACGGCTCCTGCTGGGCCACAACACCCAGCTATGCTTTTTTTCTCTGCCTCTCCGTCCACCACTACTCACCTCATGTTTACATAGGGATTATAGAGGCAGCTCTGGAGGATTAAATGTAGATTTAATCAAAAATAATAATCAATAATCCAAAAGCAAACAATATTCTAATCAAGGAACTACTACCTCAGACAAGCAAGCTAATAATAAACAATAGCCTAGTAAAAAACACACTCACGAACACGGCAAGGCATGTCACCAGTAGATAAAGTGAGAAGAAACCATACTCTCTTCTAGCACTGATGATGTTACCTACTTTGGTCATGAAAGGTCTGCAAGAAAACAACCAAGCTCAGAGATCACAAAACCCCCACCGATTCCAAATAGCTTTTTGTGAGAATATCTCAGTTTTTCCCCATATCATACCATAATTATAGTAGCTGTGATGATTGCCACACATTTTGACACTTTGTTGTGTCCTCATCACTTTTCTTCCTGTTGGGATGTGTCAAGGAAATGAAGGCCTGTCAATCGATAGCAGCCATGCTGTCATGACAGATGTTTCTATGGGTCTGTTTCCATTGATCAGCTCTAAATGATGCAGATCAATGGCTTAGTGACTCTATTCTTTAGTCTATATCCAGGGTGTCAAACTCGCAGCCCATGGGCCAGATGCGTCATGTGTTGGCCACACCCACTCCTCTTTTAGCGAAGGGGGGGAAAGGCACGTGATGACAACATGACGACCCTAGTTTGACACCCTGGTCTATATTCCATAGCTGTCTTGTTATTTCTCTTTTCCCCTTTCCTGATTGACTAATAATAGAAGGATATATAAGCAGGGGTGGGCTGCTATGGGTTTGCCCATAGCTAACCTTATGGCCAGTTCAGTGAACCTCCGAATCCCACACGTGGCTGGCCCCACCCGCCCCTCCCAGGAATCTCTACGAATCTTGGATGTGAAGTAAATGCAGGGCCCTTGCGGACGCTCGGGGGGGGGGGGGGGGGGCCCAGCCACGTGTGGGATTCGGAGGTTCACTG